TTTTTTTTTCCTTTTTGTCTTTTTTACTGACTGGCAACGGGATCGCAACCCTCGGTGTTGTACCAGCAACGCGCTCAGCCAGTGAGCGGGAACTGGTCTCCACCTGGGATCCGAACCCTCAGCGGGAGCACCGCCGCGCTCCCAAGCGGCGCACTCTCCAGTGCGCCACTGGGCCGGCCCGAGAATGTGTTTTTAATGAATTAAATTATCATACCGTTACATGTCCTGAGGGAATGCAACTCAAGAAAATTTTGGTGAGTCTTGGATCATCTATCCAGAGGAAGAATAGGCCTGAGAGGCATGCCAGCAGCTGAGAGAGCACTGGGCACTCAAAATAGGGGTCATTGAAATACCTTGTGGGAAAAAACCATCTGCACCAAATGTCTCATTATTTCCTTTAGTCTTTGATTCATAATTCAACAGACTACGATTCTTTTTCTTTTTAAACAAATGCCTCTTTTCCATATTAGTGTGAAATTTGTTGATCAAATTGCCTTGCTGACTCTTAAATGAGCCATTGTGTTAGGCAGATCAGTGCCTTCCCACCCCCCTGATATGTCCACATCCTAGTCTCCAGAACCTGTAAATAAGTTAGATTAGATGGCAAAGGGAAATTATGATTGTAGATAGAATAAAGGTTGCTAATCAACTGGTGATCTGGTTGAGCTCTATTAAAAGTGGAAGAGGGACGAGTCAAAGAAAAATCATGGAAATGGTTCATTTTATCTAGGTTATCAAATTGGTGGATATAGAGCTGTTCGTAGCATCCTTTTATTGTCCATGGGATTTTTGAGTTGATTTTCGTGTATCTTGTATATGCTATGACATAAGGGTCCAATTTCACTTTTCTGCTTGTGGATATCCAATTTTCCCAAGACCATTTATTGAAGAGACTGCCCTTTCTCCATTGTGTGTTCTTGGCACCTCTGCAAACAATCAGTTGACTGTAAATGCATGTGTTTATTTCTGGGCTCTCTATCTTCATTTGTCAGTGGGTCTGTTTTTATGCCAGTACCATGTTGTTTTGATCACTATAGTTATGTAATAAGTTTTGAAATCAGGTACTGTGATGCCTCTGGTTTAGTTCTATTTGCTCAAGATTACTTGGTATTCAAAGTCCTTTATGGTTTCATATAAATTTTAGGATTTTTTTTTCTGTTTCTGTGAAAAATGACATGGGGATTTTGATAGGGATTGTGTTGAATCCTGAAGAATTACCAGATAATAAACTTGTGTTATTTTGAGTCACTAAATTTATGCTAATTTTTTATGGCAACAATAGAAAATTAATGCAGTTGTAATGATGAAGTACTTTAAAATATGGGGTGCTGTTTTGCAGGTTAGTAGTGAGGGTGACTTGACTTGGATACCTCCAGCTCTCAGCAGCATGAGACTAAATCCCCAGAAAGTTCATAAATGTGTCTCAGGGGCCGAGCCCATGGCGCACTTGGGAGAGTGCGGCGCTGGGAGCGCAGCAGTGCTCCCGCCATGGGTTCGGATCCTATACAGGGATGGCCCGTACGCTCACTGGCTGAGCGCGGTGCGGCCAGTCTCAAAAAAGGCCAAAAAAAATAAATAAATAAAAATTTTTAAAAAGATGTGTCTAAGAGATGGAATCAAGGATGTAAGGGCAGGTTTCATTGATTAAAGAGGCAGTGTTTCAGAGTAGTTAAGAGCAAGAAGCTTTGAAACCAAGTGTCTGGCTTTGAATCCTGGCCCTATCACTTGCTAGCTGTGAAATGTTGTGTACGTTTAAAAAAATTCCTGTATGCCTCAGTTTCCTACATGAAACTTCATTTAAAATTGTACCTAATCCTCTTAGGGATATTGTGAATATCCCTACGTTTACTTAATTTTATTTAATTGTTTACTTAATTTTAAGTAACTTAATATATATGAAGCACTTAAAGGAGTTCTTGGTATATAATCCTTGTTTAATAATGTTAGCATTATAATTATTTCTGGTCCAGTTTTCTGCTTGGTAACTCTGGATTCCTTGAATTCACTTTTATCATAGTCTTCCTCTGGGACCTGGTTCTGATAGTTTCGATAGTGATAACCTGGATCAGATCATCAGGACCATGGCTGTGGGAGTGGTAGTAGAAGGTATAGAAAGATTTCAGTTATCAACAAAATAAAGGAAGTGGGGGTTGTCTTATGAGCAGGAGGAAAAAGAAAGTCAGTAAGCCATGGCAAGTGTCATCTACTACTTTGTAAATCTGTTGAGATATACCCTGGTATTGACTGTCATGAATTCTCTACCCTAGATCCAGCAGTGGAGTCTAGGGACAAGATTTTCAGCTCCACTTCTCCAGAATGTTGACATCTCAAGAAGTATTCCTCTTCCTTCTTACTTTCATTCTTTGGAAATCTGGGTGAAAATGGATGTATGTGGAGTCACACTTTAAAACTGAGATGCTTAATTCTGAATAAATGCAGCACTCTTTCTCAAAAGAAGTGGGCATAGCATGAAAAAGACCCATATCCATAATCTCTACTTAGATTTCTCTCATATTATTGTACAGTAATCCTATTTTTTACATTTTAGGAAATGTAATCTATTCTTCCTAATTATGAAACATAGAAGCTGTGGGGGAAAGACAACTGTTTTTTGCTTCAGGAAAGCTTAAAATTAAAAGTGGGCATAAGAGACAAATTGCCCACACAGTATTTGCTTTCAACCCATTTTCCATTTGTACCCAACATTTACTATTGCTAGTTACTTCATAACTTTCACCGCCTCAAATAAAAAGAATACTATTTCTAATTTAGAGAATAGGAATTGTATTTCATCCGATAAACAAAGTAAGTATTCTGATGAGTATTTTGCTTTACCCAGTCTTTGATTGGTCAAACTAAAAAAAAAAAAAAAAAAGAAATCTGAGATCTATTCTAATTTAAACAGATTAAATTAGCTTCAAATCTCTTCTCAGAAGCAATTGTAGTATAAGTTAGCAAGTGTAACAAATTCCATTTAATCCTTAGAAATTGAATTAATTAAGAGGCAATTAAGAGCTAATGTAGGTCTCTTTGACTGAATTCACCATAAAATCCAAGGATGACACTACTTGGTTGTATTTTATTTGTATCTGAAGTGGTCACTACAGTTTCATTCTAAGGGGCCATGATCCTGTGTACTGCAAGTGCTATCTTAGCAGACATAAATACAAATTTCACATTCACTTAAGTAGAACTCTACCATATCCTGTGCTAGAAGAAACATCATTTGTAAATGCCTTTTGTTAAAAATGTTAGTCTTTGGTGATGAAACGATAGGAAATGCTGAGATGATTTAATGAAGATGATGGAACAGAAAAATGGAATTTAGTACATGGTCCAGCAAATATTTAAGGCCAACTTGTGTACTTCCAAAGATAGCTGAACAAGCATAACACTGGATACCCTTAGTATGACCTCAGCAGTCTGAATGGCAACATATTTCTTTCAAAACACTTTTGAGCAATTTTACTATAAGCCAATGTAGTAAATCAATTAGGATAAGTGGCACGTGTCTATACTATCGAGGATGGAAGAAACAATGAGTTTGCAGGAAAAGTATCAATATTGACTAGTAAATACTGGGTTGTCTCTATTACCAGAAAGACCTTTGAAAGAATTCTGAAAGTACAAATGTAAAGTATCTTTACATTTGGAATGGATGACAGAGAAGACGGATATGAACAAAATGACTACCATATGTGTCTACAGCACTCCATCTCAACAACATCATCCTAGTCCAAGCCACCATGTCTCCTGCCTGGACTGCTACATTTAGCTTCCTAACTGGTCTCTGTTTCTACTCTTACCCTGTAACAAACCATTGTCATAGCAGCCAGAGTGATCTTTTTGATACATAAATGAGATCATGTCACTCCCTTGCTAAGAAACCTTCAGTGGCTTCCATTGCAATAGAATCTAACTTCCCTTAGTGGTTTACAAAGCTCTCTATGACCTGGCCCTAATGATCTCCCTGACCTCATAATCCACCACTGTCCTTCTGACTCACTATTCTCTAACTACCCAGGCTTTCCTTCTGTTCCCCAGACATCAAATAGGTCATGCCTGTCAGAGAGCTACTGCACTGGCTATGTCTTAACTCATACTCTCTTTTCCTGGCTTCTTCTTGTCATTCTTTAAGATTAAGAGATTGAGAGCTCTTCTCTGACCATGCAGTCTAATGTCACCACATAGCCAGTTTCTATTTAAACACCCTATTTTAACTCTGCAATGTACTGCTCCCCGTAGAATAATTTTATTTACTTGTTTGTTTGTTTACTATCTATCTCTTTCAACCAGAATGTCAGCGTCATGAGAGCAAGGACTTGCTTTGTTCATGCTGGTTCTGTAGCTCATTGGAAAGTGGCTGGCCTTTAGCAATACAAAATAAATATTTATTGTTGAATAAATGTACTTTTTAGAATAACATGTAATTTTAGATAAAAATACTGAAACATGTTATACATAATAAAACTAGCAGACTATAAAAGATAAATAGGTTGTTAAATTCCCAAGACTGTCTGAGGACAAATTTCATACTAATTTTTGCTTCCCTATGTAGCCTCTCCTTTTCATGAGTGTCACAAAAAATTAAAAGCCTCATGTTACATCCAGTGATTTTGGTTGTGCAAATAGTCATATGGTACTGAATGACTGAAAACCACCATCATCCATTATCATTTTTCCAAGAATATTTAAACCTCATTTCAAATACACATTTGGGGCCATCATAAAATAAAGGTATCTAATTATATGAACAGACTTTTCCAAAGATAGTGCTAGAGGTTGAATCTATCCCCAGAAGTTCATGTGTTGGAAACTTGATCCCCCTTGTAACAGTGTTAAGACAGTGGGAAACTGATTATGGTATTTGAAAGGTTGGGCCTTTAAGAGGTGATTGAGTCATAAGGACTGTGCTCTCATGAATAAATTAATCCACTCATGGAGTAATGGGTTAATAGTTTAATGAGTTATTATGGTTGTAGACTGCTGGCTTTAAAAGGAGAGCACATGAAAGCACTCTTGCCATTCTCGCCATGTGAGTGCCTATGTCACCACAGGACTCTGTAGAGAGTTTCCACCAAGAAGGCCCTCACCAGATGCATCCCCTGGACCTTGGACTTCCCAGCCTCCAAACCGTAAGAGGTAAATTTCATTTTCTTATAAATAACTTAGTTTCAGGTAGACTGTTATAAGCAACAAAAAATGGGCTAATATAGATAGCAAGAAAAATTTATATAATTCCAGAATATCTGATGTTGATAGATGAAATTCCTAGTAGAGTAGGAAGGAAAATAATTCTATGTTACTTATAGGTGTGGTTGTGGGGAACTGACTGAAGATATTGCAGCTTAAGACTGTTCATCTAAAAAAAAATGGGATTTTAATAATGTAATACTTACTTTGAAAGGTTTTTCTGAGGATTAAAGATAATGTGTGATAAGGGCCTTGCACATAGTAGGCACTTCAAAGACAGTGCCTCTTACTATTAACATTTTATCAATTTGTTTGAAAACATACAGCAAAATCTGATTTAGTATTTGTCACAAGCAGATTTTAGAAAAAGACACAAGCATCATAACTACATTTTAAGTGAGCACACAAAGAGAACTTCAAAATCTCTCAGAGCATGGACACTGGCAGATCTCTATTCTTTTCAGTGCAGCAGATTTCCAATAAATCGTATCTTCGTATTCTAAATGAGATCTTCCCAGGGTCAGCCCTATAAGGTTGTGCTGCTTGTATATTGTATAAGGGCAACCGTCCAAGTGGGTGGGTGGGGACTGGAATCCGGCTCACACTCTTCTTACATAGCCCTATGCCTGAGGATCTGGGTTTGCACAGAGGCTGCATTTTCCTGATTTGTATAAAGGCATCCTAGAGTTTGTACCTGCCCTTTTCCAAGTGTATTATTTTCCAAAATATCTTACATTTGAGGGGAATATAGCTGAATGACACAAAGAAACTATTTTGTTCACATTTTTTGAGATCATTGCCTTTTGTTCAATTTTGTTTGGATTATCAAATCTAGTGATTTTGTTTCACATGTTTAAGAAACTATATCTTAAAAAATAGCAAATGCGTGCACACATACACACATTTGGGCTTTTCTTGTAGAGAATAAGGCACTTCTCACCTACGACATGTGGTTTTGCTGTGTTTGTTGCTGCTGCTGCTGTTGCTGCTGCTGAATTAGCAATTGCTGCTGCTGCCGACGCCGGGCTGTCCGTAGCTTTTCAAATCGAGCTTCCATTTCTTCCAGGACTTTTGGGGTATATCGGACCACCAGCTTGACGCTGTCCTTAGCAGCCTTGAGTAGTTCCACAGCTTTCTCATGGTGTTCTCCTTCGACACTCTGAAAAGACAATGACATTCCTTAACGGGGGGGACTTTCAATGTTCTTTTACCTGAGAGACAAATCTGAAATTAGTATCCTATTAAGAACACAAAATTTGAAATTTCAAGAAAGCAAATGGCAAATGGGATATCTTATCATCATCAACATTATCATGTTTGTAGCTTCACTATACTCGGGTTAGGCTGCACTAGATTGGATGGAAAGGGTTCAAGTTAAGAGGGTAAGAAATAAGGAAGACTAAAATTATTTTCATCAAGAAGAGTAAATTCACTAGTCAAGAAAAAAAAATTTTTTTTTTCCTTTTTGTCTTTTTTACTGACCGGTAACGGGATCGCAACCCTCAGTGTCGCGCCCGTACCGGGGACCGGCAATGGGATCGCAACCCTCGGTGCTGCGCTCGCACCGCGCTCAGCCAGTGAGCGGGAACCGGTCTCCACATGAGATCCGAACCCTCAGTGGGAGCGCCGCCGCGCTCCCAAGCGGTGCACTCTCCCATGCGCCACTGGGCCGGCCCAAGAAAATTTTTTGAAAATTAAAAAATAGTAATACAGGAGAGCTTTCCCTATGAAATATTAAAGTTTATTAAGAATATACAATGACTAAAGTGGTATCTTACTGGTATATTAAGAAATAATAGAACATAACAGAATCCAGAAGGAGATCCATCATATGTAAAATTTCATTATACAATAAATGTGGAATTTAGACGAAAGGGATTATTAAATAATGAATTTTTAATGGATTTAACAAAATAACAGATTTAATAAAGGATTATTAAATAATGATGCCTGAACAAATAATTAAAAATAATGGAGAGCCTAATCTCATACTCTATGGTAAATATAATAAATTGATTAAAACTTTAAATGCAAAATTAAAGCATAAAACAATTAAAACAAAGGAAAATGTTCATGTCGCAGTGGAGAAGGAATTCTTAAGTAGAAATACCAAGGATTGTCCTGAGTCAGTGGAGAGAAAAAAATAAAATAAAAAGTAGAAATACCAAGGTAAGAAAATCACAAAATCAGATTTATGTAATGTATGTTTCTATACCTCAAACACTGTAAAAGGGGCAAATAACCAGGAAAAAAATACTTTCCATATATGACAATCTGTTAATATTCTTCATATAAAAAGCTCTTACCAGTCAATAAAGATAGAAGCCAAATGAGCAAGTGGCACACATGGACAAATAATAATAAAAAAATACAAATGGCCAATAATCCTATGAAAAGATGTTCAAGCTCCCTAGTAATCAGTGCAGGTACCACCTGGACATGATGATTTGCATTCCTTTGGGTACATACCCAGCAGTGGGATTGCTGGATCACATGGCAGTTTTATCTGTAGTTGTCTGAGGAACCTCTATACCATTTCTCATAATGGCTGCACTAATTTACAGTCCAGCCAACAGTGGATGAGGGTTCCCTTTTTTCCATATCCTCACCAGCATTTGTTATTCTCTTTTTGATAATAGCCAGTCTAATTGGGGTGAGATGATATCTCAATGTGGTTTTGATTTGCATTTTCCTGATGCTTAGTGGCGCTGAGCATTTTCTCATGTGTCTGTTGGCCATTTGTACATCTCCCTAAGAGAAAGGCCTATTCACCTCCTTTGCCCACTTTTAAAATGGGTTACTTGTTTTTTTACTGTTGTTTGAGTTCCTTGTATATTCAGGATATTAATCTCTTGTCGGATTCACAATTTGCAAATATTTTTTCCCATTCTTTCGGTTGTTTTCTTGTTCCGTTAATTGTTTCTTAAATATAGACTAACACAAAATATTTCATTTTTAACTTAAAAATGGTAAACAGTATTTTTAAATATGATGTATGGACAAGAATGTAGGGAAATGGGACACTTACAGACAACTAATAAGTTAATAAAAACTGGTACAACTCTTCTGGAGAGCACTATTGTTATTCATTGAATAAACCCTTTATAGTGAATAATTTTACTTTCAGAGAAATTAGCTAAGGATATAATCACATATGCACACATGCCTATAAGGTAGGTATGATATAGTAAAAAGCAAAAAATAATTCTTGGCCTTTGAGTTTCAGAATAGTCTTTTGAACATCATAGCATAGATAACAGTTGGGAAAACTATGTTTACTCTAAGTAAACACAAAGCTGCTTCTTACCCAACCCTCTTAAGATCCCAAAGTTGGGATAAGAGAGAAGCAAAAGGGAAGAAAGTTGTAATCAGACTTTACAGGACCCTAAGAAAAGGAGGCTCTGCCTCCAGCCCCTCTCTGTTGATGCAGAGAGCAAATGACATAATCCCTCTTTTATAAGATTGAAGCGCAAAGGCCTTCTTGGGAAGAAAGTTGTAATCAGACTTTACAGGACCCTAAGAAAAGGAGGCTCTGCCTCCAGCCCCTCTCTGTTGATGCAGAGAGCAAATGACATAATCCCTCTTTTATAAGATTGAAGCGCAAAGGCCTTCTTGCCTTGCTTCTTGGGTAAAGTCCAGAGAAAAAATGGCTGTGTAGTGTGATAGATAGGGACTGAGATAGGCTTAAAGATTATCAGAACACCTAAGAGTGGCACTGAAGTGTCCAAGAAAGCCACCCCCAATTGGTCGAGATTACATTTTCACAACTCTAGCAGAATGGGGACTCGAATTGTATATGAAATTGAGCTACGGAAAAAAAAAAATTACATCTCAAGCACACTTCAACTATATCTTGAGATTCATAATTACTACCACTATATAGATTTGGGGAACTAAGGGATTGTATTCAATTCGATCATTTGCTTCTGAAAGATAGCTGTGACTGAGGGGAAAAAAGGTTTGAATCTAGCAATGGGGTTGTCATTGGTGGCCTGTAAGAGCACCACTTGTCATTTATCTGAGTACCGAGCAGGTACTAAGGGTTTAAGAAATGACCTTGGTGAGCGAGTTTCATAACCTCTCCTCCACAGTGTCTGGGTTAAACAGAAAGCAAGGGGTTGTAAACAGTCTTTCGGTAGAGTGAACTTTTATCTATGGCTGAAGCTTAGGAAAGTAGGCTGTGTGTTGATTAATTCATCCTTTTAATTATCCATTCAATCATTAACTTAATCACTCAACAGATGTTTAGTAAGCATTTATTCTACTAGTTAGATACTATTAAGTTATTTAGAAGAACATGAAAGAAGGGGAAACTCTGACAATACTGTACAAATTAAGTCCTATTTTCGGTGTGCTTGTAATATTTTTGTAATTTGACCCAAGATAATATGTTAATGTATGGAATTTTCCTTTAAAAAGAAAACTTGGTGATTTGCTTGTCCATACCCTTCTCTAATTTCTTTCTTAATATTAAAACTTGCATTTTTCTATGTTTTAATAAAGATGGTCCACCTGTTTTCTAGGCCAGATGACTAGTCTCCAGACTTCCTTTTGGCTTTTGTTCTATTTGCTTTCATTTAATAGGGTTGGAGATTCTAGGCCAGATCTTTAGAGGCCCATTATCCCTGCTTAGGCACTGTGAACGCAATTCAGAGTTGCCACAGGAGGGCTGTGGTACTAACACATCAGACCCTCCGGCAGACAGAGTGAAGAGTTGAGAGGAATATGGCCAGCAGGCCACAGACTGGACCTGCAGAGCTGTCAAGGTTACCCTCCTCCACCCCCAGCTCTGCTCTCTCCCACACTGCTAGCAATTTATCAAAAGTAGACTCCATGCTCTCCAAAACAATAACTTTTGCCTTGATGCTTTATCTCTAGTTTAGATGATGACTCAGATTCTCTTTTGAGCTCACCAGAGTCAACAGGTCACTTGGTTTGACTCCACCTTCCTCTGTGTCTTCCCCACAAGGGCACAGAACCATTATATGGGATCAGGGCAGCGTCATACTTCATTTCTATTACTAAAAATACTTTCTTAAAATAATACAATTACATAATTAAGCAGTGTTGTGGATTGCTTGAATTGTGTCCCCAAAGTTCATGTATTACAAGCTTATTTCCTACTGTAACTGAGGGTAGGAAATACTATAATAGTAATTGAAAGGTGGGGCTTTGACGAGGTGATTAGATTGTAGGACCATGCCATAGTAAATGGATTAATAACGGTGGTCAGGAGTGTGATTCTGAGGGCATTAAAAGAAGAGCACATGAGAGGTTACTCTCTGCTCTGCCATTTTCTGCCATATGAGACCCTGGGTCACTGTCACCACCACCAAGACCTTCACCAAATGTGTTCCCTCGACTTTGGAGGTTCCAGCCTCTGAAACTGCAACCAATAAATTTTGTTTTCTTATAAATTACCCAGTTTGAGGTATTTTTGTTATAAGCAACAGAAACAGACTAATAAAAGAAGTATAACAGAAAATAGGAGGTGAATTTTAGTGAGATTTGAAAAAATATAAGCATGTTTGTAGAATTTATGTCAAACACTCCTTGACACTGTTTTTTCATTGTTTTTAAAATGTCTTAACTCTTGTTTTAAGGATTGTTCTGGGTGGCCCTCTTTTTCCACTGGCTTTGTCTACTTTTTAAATACTTTTGAGTACATATGTTTGTCTCCTTAACCTATTATTTATTTATCTCTGGATTGCTTTTAGTCTGTCAGTATAACATTTTAATAACAATAGGCAGTTTTCTCTCTTTTCTTTCCCCTAAAGGTAGAAAGAAAAAAGCAGATCACCTTCTCACGGAGGTCTTGTTCCATGAACAAAGAAAGACCAAAAGATCTGTTCAGTTAGTGTATAAATGTTGATGTGCAAACACTTATTCATAGACATTCCTTGAACCCTGAAGGTTTATCATCTATTCCTGCTTTTGACAGTCTATTTCTCATTCTTAATGAAAGCATGCCTATTTCAGGATAAATATTTAAGGCATGTTTTAAAATGTGATAGACTGTTTGTAAACAGTTAAACTATTTTTATCAGAGCAGTATATATAAGCCCTTCTGATGCAGGAGTTGTCCTTGAAAACAATTAGCTCAAATTTGAACAATCACTGGCAACTTGCAGCACTGGCTTTCCGCACAGGATGAGAATA